CCTCGATGTGGCACTCACATCAGGGAATATTCGAGTCACTACTCCCAAACCCATTCCTTTCTCTCTCTCCGATCACATTCCCATTACCTTCGCAGTAGGTAGCATTCGCGCCTTCTGCGGCCCTAGGCAATGGGTCCCGCAACCCGCCGACTGGGATGAGTTTTGCAAACAACTCACAGCACAACACACACAACACAAACCACGCAGACAATGGATTCGCCAGAATCTATAGAAGCTAACTTACACACTTACAAAACACATACAAACTGCCCACAGAAAGGCGACACCAGTTTTCTGGCCCCACCCAAAGAGGGTTCACATACACTTCCTCCAGATGTCGAAGAACTTCTGCATAAAAACGCAAAGCTAGGCGACTATGGCAGGAGTTTAGGTGTCCTGCGCTTAGAAAATAGCTGAAGGTATGCGAAAAACGCCTCAAAACGGCGCTCGCAAACCACCACGCAGAGGAGTGGGAAAAACGTATGAGAGAGATCGGTTCCGATCACTCCCGTAACGGCCTTTTCAAACTCCAAAAAATGCTCAGGTCAGTACCTAATACCGCAACTGCCATACATGGCCACGATAACGCGGAGGGTAAACCAACATACCTCTTCTCAGATCAGGCAAAGGCAGAATTCTTCGCCGACATGCTTGAAGAGAGGTTTGTCAACAACACAACACAGGCAGGTAGATGAGGAAACGGAAGACAGCGCCAGCACACTTACAAATTGTACAGTCGAAGAAGTTTCGAATACAATTAAATGCTTGCGTAGTTGCAAGGCACCGGGACCTGGCCGAATAGGCCCTCCCATTCTTAAGGAGGCCCTTCCGGTCATAAACACGGAGCTGACACGAATCTACAATAACTGCATTACACAGCGGTACTTTCCGGATAATTGGAAATACGCAAGTATCTCCATGCTTCCTAAACCCGGTAAGGATCTCACGATCGCGGCGAGCCACCGGCCTATCAGTCTTCTCCCGGTTATGGGAAAGGTATTTGAGAGGCTGCTACTCGCTCGAATTCTGCCAACTGCTCTCTCGCGGAACCTCATTCGAGATGAACAGTTTGCCTTCAGACCGGGCCATTCCGCATCATTACAAGCACTTTGCATGGCTCAGCAAATTTCCGCTGATCTGTTACTCACACAGGATGTATCTGTCATATATCTCGACATGGTACAAGCCTTTGACAAAGTGCCACACAGCACACTCATCTCCAAACTCCGACGCTGCCTTCCTCAAGATGTAACCGAAATGATTACATCTTTCCTCACAAACAGCACATTCATGGTAAAAGTGGGCAAAACGAGATCCTCGAAGCGAATGATTGCGGCTGGAGTCCCTCAGCGCTCCGTCCTCTCTCCGCTACTGTTCTCGCTGTATGTCAAAGACATACCGCAAATACCACGAACAAGACCATTCCCTTACGCTGATAACATAAGTCTTAGCGAGAGGAATAAACCTAGATCACAAATTCAAAATACTTCAAAAACAGATGAACCTTGGCACACAAAAACTAACATGGACACCTAAGGCAACCTACTTAGGCGTCACTTTTGATCGAAGGCTGCGCTGGCATTTACATTTCTGGCGAATTCGATCAAAATTACAACAAAGAATTCGACTATTACAACCTCTTTTGAGGGAACCTACACTCCCCTTGGAACTGCCTGGCACTCTATAGGTTTGTTCCAGCAAACAATCACGGACTGTTTTTACGTTGCTCTCACTCTGCGCATTGCGGAGCTGCAAACTACGTCAGAAACTAGCCCGGATTTGGATCTGCTGCGAAACAAGGTAGTACAAAAATCAGTCTCTAGGTGCCGCTGCTTTCGTTTCATCGGTAGTTGCAGAATTCTCCGCCAGATATAATTTTGGTATCGCATATAAAAATCAAAGCGACCTGACCCTGGTTAGTTCTGGTATTCCTGTGGTATTCACTTGCGGTTTACGTTTCTCCATAATTGCTCGTTTGTTTTCTTGACCTTGCTATCAATTACAGATTTTGAAACTGATAAACTGTGACCTGCGCTATTGTTTTTATTATTCTTTTGGATTTCGGTTATTTGTATTTTTCTTAAAAATGAGAGATAACGCTGCCAATACAGAACGGTAAATAACTACATACATATTTATTAAGTCACGGTATAAGGAATTTCCTTAAAATTACTTACCTTCCATTTCCCAAAAAAGAAACAAATATCAAGTTCCAATATCCACAAGAAAATCCGAAAGATAGCTAATTCACCAAAAATCCAAGAATCTAGATTTAGATTGATTTAGTCAAAAAAGTAAAAAATTGTATATGTGACGTATGGGGGAGAAGAGGATTTGCGCATGATTTCTTGAGTTCCAGAATACCTTCCCATCGTTTTAACTATAAATAAATAAATAAATAAATAAAAATACATTTTAAAGAAGCGCGGGATTAGTAATAATTGAAAAAAAACTAGAAAATCAACGAAACGTAAAATAAAGCAGGGTCGAATTCCATTATCCTCGAGAAAAAATCCGAAAGAAAGCGAAATCACCAACAACCAAGAATCAATAAAATGTGAAACAAAGCAGGGTCAAAATATATAGAGCAGAATATAAAACAACTATGCAGAAACCTGATGGAAACGTAAATGGCGCGTCGTCGATGTTTGGCGTTGGCGGGAACTCGGGGACCGAAGTACGCATGCGCGGATTTCTAGTTTGAGTGAGAGTGCACGAGCTGATTCGGATTGGTTTCAAACTAATCAGCAACCCTGCTGGAACGCCCAACTCCCAGTCACATTCCCTGACTGCTGCTACTGGAACGCCAAACACTAGGCTGCGCATGCGGCACTGTTTCAGATTGCTGCTGGAAAAAACCTTATAAAACGTGTTGCCGGCCTGCGGCCACCTATGCTGAGGCAACGTGGTGTACTACAGCACAGAAGTACAAAGATACACTTGAGCTGGTACAGAACAAAGTTCTACGGCTCATAGCACGCTCTCCGTTTCGGAAACGGTTGAAGGTACTGAGAAAGGAACTTGATATCGAGTCCATCACTCAATGCTTGTAACGGCTTTCGTTTAACGAAGCTTATCAAGCCTTTCAAACCGACGAAGGTTCGGCAACGTTTAAACAGTTAGCTCGACACGTCTATACAATAGGGCAAAGAAGACAAGTACTCGCCTCTGATATTCGAAGAGCGTAGTGCAACACAAAAGCCGATTTGGCTATTGACTAAGGACCGACACGAACCCACACCAGCTATTTACACATAGCAGTAAAACGCAAAATTGCGTGCGCACTGCAACACACAGTACACAAATCTTTGGCTTAGCGCCCCCCCCCAAAAGGGGGGGGGGACGCAAAGCGCACACGGACAGGACTAGACGCAGACTTAACATGAAAAGTAGCTCGTTGCTGGCGCCACACGGCAGTGCATTGGCCCGGCCCAACTACGAACTGATTGAAGTTAGAGCTTATATGCCCTGCGATGTATAATCAATGAGCCGCCGCTGGTGAACGCACGAAGCGAACAGAGCCAGAAGTCGAGGCGAACTGATGCCGGCGAGCGCCGCCACCGCTGAGGCAGAGGCGCTTTCCCGGTCTTTTGAAATTGGAACTAATGAGGTTAGCCGTTTCAAATGGTTGTAATTAAAGATTAGAGTACTATACGCGCAAGTTTTCTTGATATTCCATAGCGGGGGGTGCGGGGAGAGGAAGGATGTGGCT